GATATAATTGGACGAAATGCTAAGGAAATGGTTCAATTGTCTTACAGGATATGGCTTAGTATGTCTCGTATCTACTTTATCGGAAATTAATTACATGTGAAAACTCTCATCTTACTAAAAATTACGACAATACGTAGTTTACATTATAATAATAGAATTTGGCATTGGAATAATTGCAACCACACCGGCTGTGGTCTATTGCAGAGATTCCATAATTTTGGGTGGAACTTTGTTGGCCTTGTTATGTATGGTTTTGTGGCTTATTATTGACTTTGTACTTAGACATATGAATTTATATTGTGGATTTGTGTATGTATTTATAAATATTATTCTTGTTTCTTCCATTCTCGTTTGCTTCTTGTTTTAACGTTATTTTTAATTAGGGAAGAATATAAAAATCGCTTCATAAGTTTTTTCTTCGCCTCCACGATTAGCATCACATACAGCATATCCTTGGAAGCTGGATTGCTTTACGCGAATGGAGGATTATTTCCTATGATAAATAACCTCTCTGGTGAACGCTATGTATCGGGAGCAATAAACTTAGCGTGCGCGGCGTTAATCCTTATTCAAATCTTAATGCACCTCAAATTATTTTATAGGGTAACTACGGTTTAATACGTACAGTATTATGTAAAATTGATATTTGCATTATTTATAATTAATCTCTTATTATTCACCTTTTAATAAATCCAATAGGTTCTAATACATTTTCGTGCTAACAAGGAATCGCTAGAACAATTATTAAGACCCAACCATAGAAGGTTTATATATGCTGGACGCAATACTGAATAGTTGTTTCGGTCAAGCTTCTTGAATATTATCATTATTTAAATATTATTTCTCTTGACGAAAATTTTCTTTGTTTCTAAGATACCATGAAAATTATCTTGTTTTTACATATTAAAATTTTTTTGTACAAAAGCAAAGTATATATATTTATTTACTGTAAGTCAGATTCTATGCTTCTTTGATGGAAGATATTATTTCCCATAATTATTTAAAAATTCGATTATATTTTAATATTTCAACTTTGTTAACATCTTTAAAACAATTAATAAAATGCACACCTATCTATGAGTTTAAGTTTATTTTGTTTTCATCGAAGCAATTTCGCTTATTTCTGTGAAAATTTGTTAAAAATCTTGCGCGTGTAAATATACGTAGCAGCCAAATTGATCACCACACAGTATAGATCATATGTAGCTGATGTATTTCACAGTAATGATTTGTTCATATAAAAGGAATTAATTAGATTAGAGTATTATAATATATCCAATTGTCAGTTTTTTCTTGCAACAGTATTTTACTCTTTTCTATGATTTTGTTTAATAAATTTATTTGATATCATTCAAATTTTTGAATCAGTCACCGCTATTTTCTAGTGAACAAAGAAAAAAGAACATATTTATATAAATACTGTATATATAATTTCTGTATTATTTCTTTGTTTGATTACCACATTGTAATATGCAATTATAATATTTAACACTCGTGAAGGAATAATTATTGAAGTTATTTTTAACATATACATAATGCCCTAATCCAATTGCTTAATCGTTTTTACATTCCATGTTTGACGTCAGGAATATAAAATACATAGTTTGTATCTAATTTTTTTTTTTTTTTTTTTTTTTGCGATTATAACTTAAGATTGGATAGTTTTTCTTGTTTACTATACCACAACTGGGAGTTCTCTCCTCATTATCAATTAGAATATCCTTACATATGGAAATGATTATTTCATTTGTTTCTGGTATCCATAATGAAATTGTTTCGCTCAGATTTGCACGAATCAAATAAACAAAATTTGTCAAATAATGGAAATGCTTGCGCTACCCGTGTTTAGAAAAATGCATCGTGAGGGCGTCCAAAATCAAAACCAAGGCGCTAAATATTGTGGGGGAGTACGCAACCGTGTCTAACCCAATTGCATGTTGTGGTGAATACACAGCCATGCTCACTTTATTAACCCATTGCAAACAAAGTTGACAGCAAATGAAGAATGTAATGATGTGTACTAGCATGAAATTGGAGGGGGGATGAGATATTTGATAAATATAAAAGCAAATTTTCGTGCAAGAAAATGTGTAAACAGAAAAAAAAAAACCTCCAATCACCGAAAACATCGCACGTTATTATGATTTCTAACGTAATAATTTTAACTTAAAATAATTAGACAAATAGATTGCATAATTGACCAAACTGAAGCCAAATCCTCGCGATAATAACCCTCCTGTGACTTCGGTTTAGTTTGTTGAATTGCAACGTGCACTGATTGATGATGCATCGATCGAAATTAGTATTTACTTACTTGGTACTTATTCTAAACTTCCCGAATTTAAAATTAATCGATTAAATTTCTCTATGGCATTTTAAGTGAGAAGATTTGTTATTAATGAGGCCTCAATGGAAATATTGTTAATGTGATAGGTACTTGTAAATTTTAAATCAAATGATTTCAGGTTGCATATAGTACGTATACTATCTTATTTTTTCTAAATAACTTAGAATATAATACGTAAATATATACATGCAATATTTAATGAATAATGGTAACAAAAATAAACCATTTTAGTTTACTTTTTCTGTGTGAATATTTATATGCTAACATTCTTTGTTGAAAATTATGTGACATTGGAGCAATAATGAGAACTTATTAATCTTGCAGCAAAAAATATAAAATTTAGTATATTAGAAATTAAGCATCAAATTATCCAAAACACTTAAGTATGAGGCAACAGATAGGTAATTATGAAACGGGATATACTGTATATAAAGTGGTGTTGGTTGAGAATGTTTATGTTTCTTTTAGGCATTTAATTCATCATTTGCAGAGATAGAACAAATAACTTCAATAAATCTGAGTGATACCTTTTATTGCCATTACGTATATCTTTTACATAATTATTTAATATTTCACAAGCACCACAAACCATCGACTCCACTATCAAACATACATATAAAGAAAATAAATTCAGATATCAGGGAAATTCTGTTTATAGAGTAAAGTTATGCCAATTAGCTCGCGATGTTTACGGAAATTAGACCGAAGGTAAAGTTGATAGATTTGATAAAGCTCGTATGAAATGGGAAAGCTTTATCAACATTATCAAATAGTGTACTACCTTTGAATGCTGCATTTATATTGAGAAAACCGAGTCAATCATTTGATTATAAGTAAGAACTTTATAAAGATGTTGTATACTGTACATTATATCATATGGTCAGTGATGGATTGGAGGAATTGCAATTGAAGTGCTGCACAACCTCACTTCACAATTTTCAACAGGATTTTTTGAGAATAGTAGAGATTAAGAAGTGATAATAAGTAAAATTTTTCTTTGTACAATATGTACCTTTTACTCCTGTCGAGAATACAAAAAAGAATTGAACAGACTGAGATGAGCCACGGGTGGGTCATTATCACGAGGATTCAGCTTCAATTCGATCAATTGGCATGCATGTAGGCATAAAATAGGTCATGCTTTATCAGTTGAACATTATGGTGTAATGAATGACAGATCAAATACTCCAGCACTTAAACGAGAAAATTGTGAGGTCGAGGATATTATCAATTTATACGAGAAATTTCTGATTATAAGAACTAATCACTCTTCTTCACTTTTATTGCAGAGCAATGGCTTTTGCCTACTATATCCACAGCAAAATCTTCATCATCGTCGATGATTTAGAACCAGACGCAGATGAGGATGAAGATGAAGATGAAGATGAGGATGAGGATGCGATATTATTTAAAATTCTCTTTTTTCTTTTAGCCCTGCGTGGTATATGATTTCTTCGAGAAATATCTAATCTCGGGTTTCACCATCTCCAGTAATCGGTGAAGAGAGATCCAGATTTTTTTACCCGCCATTTTCTTAACAATACTGGATAAACCCTATAATTATTCTGAGATTCGTGATTATTTTCAATAATTTCCACTCCCAATTTTTTACCAAATTCTTTGACCAATTACGTAGTGCCTGAATAGATATTTAACCAGTGATCATCTGATATATTTACATTTTAAAACTGATATGTTTATGATTATTTCTGCGATTATATTCCATCGGGTATTAGATCTTTCGCTTTCAATCCACGTCGGGCACGCGACAAGTCTAAAGAATAAAATAATATATTATATTAATATTAATGTTATTTTTTAACCAACACAATTATGTAAACATCGCGTAGTGGAATACGTAAATCGTCTAAAGGAACAAAAATTCAGCAGAAAATTTCGACTTATCAAGACATTAATCAGTGAAGCAAAATCGGCTAGTTATAATCCTCTCGAGTTACATGATTTTTTGATAGAGATATCGTTAATGGGTTAGTTTGTGATAATAATGCTGATGCATCTGAATAATCCTCGATAATGTGAATAAAAAATCATGGATTACTTTTGGATTTCCAGTTCCGCTTTTCCGACAACTTGGTCATTTCATCAAATCAGTATATTGGCCTACGCAATGATTGATTTTATATAAACCACAAGTTTTCTACAAAAAATTTTTTTCTCTTCAGATTCAAACCTGCTCCAGACTCAACCCATATTACTTTTATACCGTAAATTTGTTGATAAAATGCCTAATCCCCAACATGTTGTTCGTTGGTTCACATATCTGGTGGCCACCTTCGCCAGCATCTTAATTATCTTTTTCATATCTTGGATAATCATAATAACCATTGTTATTGGAGCTGTGATTTTTATGGTCGAAGTATTTTACATATTTTTTGGTGAACTTAAACCATGTACATTTCGTCCACCCGCTTCTTTCTAATTGCATAAATGGTCTAAAGCCGCTTATTTTGCATCACTTAGTTCATTACCTATCACCGGAATCTTTTTTCTGATTGCTTTAATTTCCGGTCTTATTATCGGATTCGTTTACATTTGTATCAGGGGTTTCGTTCGAAGTAAGTATAATTTTTGATCGACAATACGTAATTGCATAAATGCATGGATTTTACGCCGATCAAGAGTTTAGTCCTAAATGTCTTCTCAATATACAGCACGTTTAAAGGTTCTCCAATTACCAGACGAACCGTTCGATGAAAATAGGTGAGTAAACATCAGCACGCTATGTTAATATTTGTTAAGGGTTAACTTGAGTTTATGGCAGATTGCCTCTTCAAATTGGTTCAAACGTATCAGTTGAACACTACAACGATTTCCTTAACCGTTGCGAGTCATCTGGATACAAGTTCCAATTAAGAGATAACGGCGACGTATTCATTATTGATATGGCTTACAGAGAACATGAGTTTATTGTTTCTCTACTACAAGATTATTTCAAAATTCCCAACGGTGGTGTTATCTTGAATCCTCCAATAGATGTTGTAGGTCAACCATGTAAGCATATTCCCTCCAATCTGATCTTTGGCTTATAATCTATTTTCTAATATTTTTGCACTCATTCATCATATAGTTCACTATTGTCCATCTGGAAATGGAGAAAAAATTGCACCAGACATTGCTGTGTATCCGAGTATGGATTATATTCCGAAACCCACTCTTCCGTATCCCGGACCTCCTCCTAGTGATATAAATGTAAGTTTTTTTATTTAATGTACAGTATATTATATTCGTTTTAATAATGTATTTCGCATGGGGAGGGCCGCATGCAAGGATAGTATGTGAGGTGTGTTTGTTTCAAGACACCAACGTCTGGGAATTCAAGTGCCAGCGTTGGATGCGTCCAGCAATACGTGCGATGCGTGTTTGGGATCAGGATTCACGGTAAAAGGTCTATAAAGAACGCGCAAGGACAATATCATCGTTCGATGACGGTATATCCTGCCCAAATGGTTTATTATTTTGCGGTTCTGTATTTATAAGTTTTTTTTTTTTTTTTTTTTTTGAATATAGGCTAAGCTCTGGCGCCAAGAAGTGAGAGGATTCCGAGTGTGGGATTTTGGGACTCTTCAGACAGGATCTCAAGTTGCAAGTGAGTGCAATGCACCAAACCTTCCTGCCTACCAAGTTAATATTCCAGTTTCAGATGTATTCTGGAACCCACCGATCATTGCGGGAGTTCCGGTTGTGGCTGGATATGCTGAGATAGTTCCTAATACGATAAATGGAAATAATTTCAATATTGATCTATACCAAATTCAGCAGTTATCACTGAAAGTGCAGGATAACAATTAGTTGATGCTATTTGAAAATCTATCAAAACCCAAGAGTTTTATTTCTGTGTACGCCCATGTAAATCTATAGGATATTTTCTTTTGCACATGTAATATCTTAAATTTTTGTGGTTTTATTAAGAAGGGAAATTGCAAACTGAGATTACAAACTCGCATTTATTAACTTCAATATGTCAATTTATACAATGTAAAAATTAGGATCACGATCATGTATATACTTCCGACCAAGTATATGTCATCCTCATCTCCTCGTATATGCCCGAATGAAAATCATGCCAAGAAAATAATAATAATAATAAAAAAAAAGATAAAGTGAAGCCTTTTTTATGTACAGGGAAAAAGGCAGATCCTAGACTCTCCTTGAAAGACGATGTCCACCACTAAGCCAAACTTTACATATCACATCGCTCCCCTGAGGCCCATTATAACGTGATGCGATTTCGTGGTTATAATTAATTTTCCTTTTTTACTTTGCGATATCGCACGCTCTTATGCATGTGTATCTTCTGATCCCGAAAAGTGCTCGATTCAGAAGTATCAGAGTTAGTAATGCTAGTTGAACTTTAAAATCCCTATATTTAGGGTCTTTACATATTTGCTTATGGCTGGTCAAATTATTTTTGATACGAAATACAAAATTTTCCAAATACAGTAATCTTTATTATCCATTTCATATCCTAGTTTTAATAAACGCTTGCGTACATACTTTGGTGGATAATACATATTTTGCAAACTGTTACCACGCTTCAAATGTTTTATTATTGTTAATAATATAATTTACACCATATTCACTTAACCTATCTCGTACCCTGCTATCACTCATGTCTATATTTCCTATTTAAGAAGTATCTAATATAGTTTTAACTGGTACTTTGCTAATTTCGCAAGATAAAATTCTCATTGTGATGCATTATTATGATTATATATTTAATAATTCGTATTAATAATTAATATTATGAAATGGATAACAACTAAACCTATTATCGATTCAGGCACTAACTGGTCAACTATACCAAAGAATTGCTAAAAATTAGGAGTGGAAATAGTCACGAATCTCAGAATAATTATAGGGTCGTATTCAGTATCGTTAAGCAAGTGGCGGGTAAAAAATCTGGATCTCTCTTAACCGATTACTGGAAATAGTGAAACCCGAGATTCAGCAGGATATTATAAACTCGATAACAAATCCGGATATTCCTCGAAGAAACCATACACCATGCAAGGCTAAAAGAAAAAAAGAAATTTTTAAATGACACTGCATCTGGGTCCGCATCCTCTTCTTCATCTGGATCCGACTCTGAATGATACAACAATGATAAGGATTTTACTGTGGTTGGTGAAAATGAAGAAGAGTGATTAATCTGTATCGTAGATTTCTTGCTTGATCAGCACTAAGTTCACGAACTAATCTAGATATCTCCATACTGTATATCCACAATTTCGGATGTACAGTATACTGTATGTATTTTCATCAATTGGCTTAGTTATAAAAGCTCGAGTTTCTGGTTGGGCTCTAGATCCGAGTCAATATCAAAATCGGAAGTATCACCTTCGGCATAATACATTCCAGAATCATGAAAATCTATCTCATGTCTCATTGCAATCCTGTTGAGGAGAATAAAATGTTGTGAAGTTGGATTTTGACCACCATGAACTTTAGAAGCATGTCTACCTCCAATTTATCTGAATCTTTTGCTGTAATGTCATATGGTTTTAAAAATTTACTAAATACTCCTGTATTGCGTTTTCCATTAATTCTGTAGATAGGATCACGCAACTTTCCAATTGCTATTGCATTTTGGATCCAGGTAAGCAATTCTCTTGCATGTTCTGGATTTTTTTCCATGAATAGAAATGGTTGAGGTTCATGATTGTTTTTTGCTTCTTCTTTATTTTTAATATACCCAATACAATACGTACCAAGAGTAATTGGGATTATACCATTTCGGAGGATTTGATTCATCAGCTCATAATGAACAATGCAAAGAGTAGTTACTTCAGCAGGTCTCATGCTCAACATGATCATCTGCGAGATCTTGTAGAGTATGCCTCAGTAGTACAGATATTCTGAAGTCTTATAAGCCCCTTTTCTAAGGAGAAGTGTTTAGGCATTTTAGGTTAATTGTTCAAGTTTTTCTTCTGAATTTTGTTAAAACTTAACATCTGGTAATTTGGCATATTTATTAATTTACTCAGGATCGACTCAAAATAGGAATTGACTGCCACAATCGCCTCA